GGTTTGCAGAATCTGAGAAAGAATCTATTTCAACATTGAGAGTATTGGTGGACAAAGGGAAGGCAACCAATGTCATTTACCTGAAATTGAGCAAGGCCTTTGACATGGTCACCCACCACATCCTTATCTCCAAATTGGAGGGATGTGGATTTGATGAGTGGACCAGGCAATGGATAAGGAATTGGTTGAAAGGCCACAGACAGAGGATGGTGATTAATGGTTCTATTCCAGGGAGAGGTCGGTAATGAGTGGCATCCCCCAGGAGTCTGTCTTGGGACTGGTGCTCTTTTAACAACTTTGTCAGTGACATCGAACGACAGAATTGAGTGCACCCTCAGCAAGTTTTCTGATGACACCAAGCTGAGTGGTGTGGTTGACACGGTGGAAGGAAGGGATGCCATTCAGAAGGACCTCAACAGACTCAAAAGGTTCAACACAACGAAGTGCAAGGTTTTGCACTTGGGCCAGAGGAATCCCAGGTATTTATACAGACCAGAAGGAGCAGCCCTTGGGAGAAGGACCTGGGGGTCCTGGTGGATAAAAAACAACATGAGCCAGCAGTGTGCTCTTGCAGCTTGGAAGCAAATGGTATCCTGGGCTCCATCAGAAGAGGGGTGGCCAGCAGGGACAGGGAGGTGATTGTCCTTCTCTACTCTGCCCTTATGAGGCCCCATCTGGAGTACTGAGTCCAGGTCTGGAGCCCCCAGTACAAGAAAGACAGGGAGCTTTTGGAGAGGGCCCAGAGGAGAGCCACAAACATGACCAGAGGGCTGGAGAACCTCCCCTACAAAGACAGGCTGAGGGAGCTGGGCTTGTTCAGCCTGGTGAAGGCTGCAGGATAACCTAATTGCAGCCTTCCAGTACCTAAAGGGAGCCTACAGACAGGAGGGGAGCCAACTCTTTGCAAGGGTAGACAACAGCAGGACAAGGGGAAACAGTTTGAAGTTGAAGGAAGGAAGATTCAGGTTGGATGTTGGGGGGAAGTTCTTTACTAGTGAGATGAGATGAGGTGCTGGAAGAAGCTGCCCAGAGAGGTTGTGTATAGCCCATTCCTGAAAGTGTTCAAGGTCAGGTTGGATGGGGCCCTGGGCAGCCTGGTCTAGTATTAAATGTGGAGGTTGGTGGACCTATGAGATAGGTGGCAGGGGGATTGGAGATACATGATCCCTGAGGTTCCAACCCAGGCCATTCTGTGATTTTATGAGAATCGACACCTAGATCTCACAAATTTCACTTATTGATATGATCTAGCTGACTATTAATATTTTCTCTTTTACTCCTTCTAAAGTGAATAAAAATCTACAAAATTTTCTATAAATGTTTGGATCTAAAAATTAGGAACCAAAACAAGAATGAAGCCAAATCTACCTTAATTTGTCTGATGAAACATAGACAGTCGACCTTAAGAAGAACATTTCCAAGGGTGTGTTGTTTTTACTTATTTTGTGTAATAGACATTCTCTTTGTGTTACCAAAAGAAAAAAATAGTATGAAGGCAGGATAAAATGATTCTAGGACTAACCTGGGATATTTGTCATAAGGTTCTGCTAGAGCAAAGACTGAAAGGGAGCAGCTGTTTTATTAGCAGGAAAGTTCTCTATTAGTCTGTTATGTAGAACAGGGATTAATAGGGGATGCAGACTCTTCTGTCTTTGGTCAACACTAAAAGCCAGATCTCCAAAGAGCATAATTGCCACAACCCTTGGCAATGAAGCTGCTAAACTGTGTGTCTTTTGAGTATGACCACTACTACTGTGGAGCTAGGAATACATTTCCCCATGGTGTAGGACAGTCCAGTCCTGAATTTCCAGGAGCTCTCCTTGTCTTGAGGTATGCACTACTGGCCACTTTTAAAGTACTGCGCTAGAGTAGTCTGTTCTGGTCTGCCAACTCATGTTTTTGCATATACTGGCTTCGTGCGGTACTAGCAGCAAGCTGAAAGCCGGTAAAATTAATAAAGAAAGTAAATCAAGCAGAGAAAAAAATGAAGAACTACCCTAGCATGAGGTAAACAAAAGGGCTGTAGTGCTCACAGTCATCCTCAGCTTGAGGAAGTAATGGAGCAGGATAGCCCCTACCTGAAATGGAGCACGATAGCCCCTATCTGCCTCCTCAGCACCCATGCCTGTCTGGAGGTTCTCCTTGGCTGTCCCTCAGCCTTGCAGAGGGGATGGTCACCTCGGCAGTGCTGCAGTGGAGCAGAGCCTGAGAAGTAGAAAACTGTTAGCAAAGTGAGAGTGCACATAGTAAGAGCAAGCCTCAGCACACCTGCATGTAACCACAGGCCTGATGAGTGAAGGCAATGCTGCCGTGAGACATCCAGAGGAGGGATTCTGCACCCCATCCCAAGCTTGCTGGTTCCAGTAATGTTTCCAGCAGTGTGTGCTCAGCAGGTTTTAGGCCTCAGTCATGCTCAGTGGGTTTTTTGCATACAGTTTTGTGATTTGGGTTAGTGCCTCTCCTTTCATGCTGACACGGCCCAGAATGCATGGCAGTCAAGTGTCAAACAGGGGTGACATGCCCAATTTCTGCACATCACCCCTATGCCTTTTCCATGAGCTACGTAGGTCTATTCTCACTCCTCTTCAGTTTTGGTACTGCCATATGCTCCCAAGAAGCTGCCAAATCTTTCTGGAAGAAATGGAGGAGACAACAATTTGGTGCTCCCTGAGCTTTTTCCACCTGGATTCACAGTGCACTCTCACAGGCCACCTGTGCTGCTTCCTTGGCAGGGAAGTTCAGCATCACCATCATCACTGCACAGCTGTATGAGCAGAGGCCCAGAGGGGTAGTGTGGTTTTGCACTGTCAGTGGTACACAGCTCCCAGGCCCCCCCCTAACCAGTAGACGATGCTTCCTGCCTCGTCATGTTATTGATATTAATTCAGAATAATTTTGCAGACTGGGAGGGCCCAATGGCAAGTGCAATGAGGACAGGCAGCCAATGAGTGCAGAGCATCTTTCAGAACTAGAGTCCCTTCACATTTTAACCCTTTGCTCTTTGGCTCATACAGCTCCAGGGCCCCTTCTAACTCCTCCCCTAGCCGTGTGTCTGAAACCCATCAAGAGTAGATAGGGGTGAATGGGGAAGGGAAGGACAGAGCATTCCACATTTCTGTGCACCAGAGGGTTGAACAGTCAGAGCTTGTGAGACAGCTTCTGTGCAACCCAGTCATCTGAGAGAGAACCCAGCTGACATGGACAGGTAAAATGAATGCCTCCAATTTCTTGCTGATAGAAGAAATTAGGTTTCTAATTAAATTTCTGTCCACTTGGTGCTTACTGTCCATTTCCCTTTCTCCATATGACTCAGTGATGTAAATCCAACCCTGTTCTACTCTTACACCTTGCAGCTCTCTGTCTCCATCACTCCTTCTCTGTTTGACTGTAAACTAACCTGCACCCTTTTCCATTCTTGTCGTTTCTATGACTAATGACAATGAATTTCTATGTCATTATTTCTATGAATAATGACAACTAATGACAAGACTATTCTCTGTTCCCTTTCATTCTCTTTCTTTTCTAGAAACAAACAAACAAATATATATATATATGTATATATACATATATAATAGAAAGATGTAAATTTAGATGCTGCTTAAGCATTTTGATCTCTGCTCAGTCTTCTGTCTCTCTATCTATTCTCCCTCTTGCACCAGGTTTCAATCTTATTCTGTTTCTGCTGCTCTCACCTTGTGCTTTCAGGCACAGACGGTTCCAGCACTGCATTTTTCTACTTGCTCTTGAATTACTCTGCATAACTGTGTATCATTCACACACTCAGGGGCTTCCACTCTGATTTCAGGATTTCGTCATGAATCTTTATTTGAGGAGAAGATCCCTGTTCAGTGCTTGTGTATGATCACAGCTTCTGTGTCTTTGCTGCTTTCTCTTGAACTATGCAATGTGCTCCTATGCTACAGGAGTTGCATATGTAGCCATCACATCATACTTAGCTGCAGATCTTCTCAGTTGCCTCCCATAACATCTTTTCATTCACTTTTGTTCTCATACTGGTCATTCTTCCTAGTAAAAATCCCTAGCAATGGTCAGTTCTGCAGAGCAGAGAAATCAGGAATTGATGTTAACAAATATTTCTAGATGTATAAGATGCTCCTTGTGACTCAAAATTGTCATATATAGTCTTCACTTTGTCCTGACATGAAAGGGCCCAAATGTTATTTTCTTGTTATTGTTATTTCTCCTTCTTCACTTGTTTTTGCAACTCCATGCTGCTCTGCAGGAGTAAGACCTTTGAAAAGAAAAAAAAAAATGGGAATATGGAAGGAAAGGGATTGCCAGAAGGAAATAAGAAACATTCTGAAAGCAAATATCTATATGAAAACTTTACTGGTGTTTTGCTTTTGTTATATAGCCCAGGTAAGAGCTTTGCAATTCTCTGGTCTACCATATCCACTTATTTACCATGTGATTGTCTGGGTTGTCCTCCCTAAACCATCTGACGATCTGCCACACATAGAAGGGGAGTGGGAAATACATAAAGAGTGTTTATATAAGAAATCCTCCTTGCCTAAACTCTCATATTTAAATCAGGAAATTCACAGCAAATACAAATTCCCATTTCCCACACCTCACCGGAGACCCCCAGAAAACTCAGCTTCACATCTCTTACACTGACTCCAGCTCCCTGCTGAGCACCAGCTTACCAGACAGAAAAGTTGACAAAGGACATTATTATTTTTAACACATTCACTTTCATTTTGCATTGCTGTGAGAGAGGTGAATAGCTTACCACAGTGAACATGGCAGTCCTCAGATGTACCTTCGCATTACATTGAGACTGTTGAATAAGGCTGTTTGATTAATCAATACTAATTCACTTACTGTTCCCACTCACAAGGTCACCTCCTTATCTCCTTCATCCCCCACAGTCACATCTACACCCTCACCCCAAAATAGTTCATGCAAATTACCGATGTTTTTATTTCACAATGGAAGGTCTGAACTTGATGGAGATATTTTTGCTGCTGTGCCCTCAACATAGGTCTGACCAATTTCACAGCTATGACTTCAGGATGAGGATAATATGCATTCTCTTGTCTTCTCCTTCAGCTTCTTGATGAAGAGGAAGCTCTTCCTCTACAATTTCAAGAACCTGCGCTGGGCCAAAGGCCGTCGTGAAACCTACCTCTGTTATGTTGTGAAGCGCCGTGACAGTGCTACATCGTGCTCCCTGGACTTTGGATACCTGCGTAACAAGGTATGAGGTACACGTTGGCATCCCATTCTCATATCCATGTTAAGCTTGATGCAGCTCTGGAGCAGCAGGGAAGAAGAACTGCAAGCAGCAACATCTCCTCTGGCATATGCATCCACAAGAACGGATACTAAGCTGGTATACAACATTTGTGGGATGCAGTCTCCAGGTAGATCTGTATTTGTGCTACGCACAAATATGTTACTAGTAAGACATCCATATAGTCCCTGCTGCTTTAACGATACCTTGATTTTTCTACCTTGCTCCCACACATTCCTCTTCTAGTCATCATTTATATATCATTGTGCCATCTTCTTCTGTGCATTGACCCTAAGATCTCTCTCTCACCTTGTTCATTCTCCTCTCACACATCACTCAGCTCAAACCTCCCTCCTTCCTCCCCTTATAGCCTACTTCATTCTTGTCTCATGCTTTGCCCCTCTTCCTCTTTCATGAAGATGGGTTGCCATGTGGAGGTTCTCTTCCTACGCTACATCTCAGCTTGGGACTTGGACCCAGGCCGCTGCTACCGCATCACATGGTTCACCTCCTGGAGCCCCTGTTATGACTGCGCCCGACATGTGGCTGACTTCCTTCGTGCCTACCCAAACTTGACCCTGCGCATTTTCACTGCCCGCCTTTACTTCTGTGAGGATCGCAAAGCAGAGCCTGAGGGGCTGAGACGCTTGCACCGGGCTGGGGCCCAAATCGCCATCATGACATTCAAAGGTAAAATGGGCAGGGGAGAAATAACTGAGAGCTATGTCAGGATATGGTATGATGATTTAGTGAGCCTAGAAGAGATTAGTGTCCTCTTTGGAGCAATCTTGAGCATGCTTTAATGCCCCTGTGCCTTGCACAGATTTCTTCTATTGCTGGAACACATTTGTGGAGAACAGGGAAAAGACATTCAAAGCCTGGGAAGGGCTGCATGAAAACTCTGTCCATCTGTCCAGGAAACTTCGACGGATCCTTCTGGTAAGGACTAATTTTTCCACTCCTTCCAGTGCCTCTTTTCCTCAGCTTCTTCCTCTCTTCCTTGCAAAAGTGCTCTGCTTCTACTACTCATTTCTGCTATCCATCATTTCATTCTCTCCTGTGTCATCACCTTTCATGCTGCTTATGCCTCTTTCTCCTAACTTTGTTCATATTCCCACACCTCATTCTCTTCTACCTCTCTTCACATTTCATGCCATTCTTTTGTCCTTCCCCATCTTTATAGACTCCTGCTTACTTGATAAATGACCTATTGCTTATATTTTGTTCTGCAGCCACTGTATGAAGTAGATGATTTACGAGATGCCTTTAAAACTCTGGGACTTTGAAGTGGAAGTCATCAGCAATGAGAAGACTTCACAAGCATTTGTTCTTTGATATTCAATTCTCTCCCTCACAGTGTATCTTTGTCTTCTTCCTTCTTTCCATCTCTCTTTCTTCCAGCCCTATGTCCAAACATAAGACCTTTCATACTTTTCTCTCCTAACAGCGAGATTGAAAAGCTCTCATGAGAGTAATGAACTGAGTCCTGAACACCTCATTTGAAACCAGCAAATCTTCTAAGTGGTTTGTGTGCAGATCTAGGCCTTTTTGCCCAGAATGAAGGGAGCTTGAATAGCTGTGGGTTCAGATTTTGTTCCCTATGACAGGTTGAGACAATAAAAGCTTAAAATGAAAGCAAAAGATTTTCCGTCCAACATTTTCAAGTGTGAGCTGCAGAAATACGAGCTACTACATTGAGAGCAGTGGCAGCTCCACATCAGTGCTGATCATTGTACAGACCTCTCACCCAACCAAGAAAGGAGCCTCCAAGGCATTTCACTATGGCAGTGTTTTTCCAGCATATATCTACCAAAATACACACTTCATTTCTAATCTGTATCATCCCTCAGATTTATAGGTTGAGACTGTAGCATTTTAGATGTTTTTTTGGCATCCACATCAGGCACCATCTGTTTCATGACACGGCTAGGAAGAGCAGTGCAAGTCTCACTAACAGAGTACTTCCCAGTCACAGAGCATTTCTTCCTAGATCAGACCTGCAATATGCTTCATCCCTAGGCAACTGTCCTCTGTTGGAGGCACCCTGCTTGTTCCAGTTTTACTTGGAATTATGTGAGTTCTTTTGAGTATGGCTTATATGACAGAAGGCTTTGGCCTGTGTACTGTGTTTAAAAGCTTGGCAATTTTGAAAGGTTACAGATTTGCTCTCTGAGTTAATTTGTTACTCAAAACTAACAGTTTTATAGTTTCTTACCTATTTGACAGAACCCATTTTCACGGGAGGGTTGGACTATATGATCTCCAGAGGCCACTACCAACCCATACAATTCTGTGATTCTTGAAATGCCAGGTTAGAAAGCAGCTGGAAATGATTGCTATAATTGTTTCTCTGTCATTATCCACAAGCAGGGAATGAAATTGTGATATTTGAGATACAGTCCTCTGTCTTTAAGAGCTTTTTGATGACTATAATACATCTAGATATGGCTAGCTGGTGATTAGAAAGAACTGACCAGAAAAAAACAACCACCATGAGTGAAGCTGCACAGCTCATAGATTTCTTCTGTAGGGACAAAACCAAAAGACCTTCCTTCCTGTTGTTGACTGTGTTTTCCTTAAGGGACCCAATTAGTATCTGGTTCTGTGGACAGTCTTTACTAAGTTGAAAATATTGGTTCACGGTTCACACCAACTCCCTGGATTGCAGATGGACTATCCTCTTCAGTTTAACTTCTTCAGGCTTTACCAGGGCTAACAGTGTGTCTCATACTCTGAAGGTGCTCTGTCTTTTCCTTCATGATTGCTGTGAGTTCTCTGCTCCATCCTATTCTTCGTTCTGAGCATGGCCAATGTTCCTATGCTGCTCCTAACGTCTCCTATAGTGATGGGCCAGCAGCAAGACAGTGCACAGTGCACTCTTCGCCCACAGTGCCTCTTGCTCTGTCAGAGCTGGGTGCAACACAAGCTTCCTACAACTTCTGACTTCCGATGAGCTCTCATTTTGAGGAATTTGGACCAAGAACAGCAGTGAGAGATCTTTGTGAAGCATTAATTTGCAGATGTGGTGCTATTTTTTGGATAGCATATTATTTATATTTAAAAAGTCTTGCAAAAGAGCACTTTTTTTTGTCATTGTTTTTGTAACAATTCAAGAGAAAAGTAAAAATCAACACAGAATACTGGCATGTAATCTATCCTGTTTGATTTCTACAGAGAGAAACTGGCACTATCCTGTTAGACTGTCTTTATGCTTTTTTCCTTTTAACTGTTGATCTGTTGACAGTGTCACCCAGAAAATCAAGGTTGGTAAAGTCTTCAGGCCATAGCTGACTTGGAAATATTACCAAAAATCAGTCATGTAAATATTGTAAATATTAAAGTTGCGCAAGATGCTTCATCTGTTGATTACTAGCTCCTCCAAATTTATGACTCCTAATTGACCAAACTGGACACAGAAGTGTTGAATCAACACATAATGCGAAACAAGAGATGTAGAAGAAATCAAAAAAGGATTTCTGTCTTCCGTCTTCTGGTTTGACCTATCCAACACCAATGTCCTTCAGAATGAAGTTGCTGGACAACAATTAGAAAAAGTAGCATTTTCTAATAATGCAGTTGAGATACTATTTTTTACTGAACTTCTATCAAACAAACATTAGCTCAAAGATATGTATTGAAAAATGAAAATTGGTGTTGTTATACAATAGGAGAATAAATATAATGAGTAAATGCGAAGAAACGTACTACATTCCAAGCTGATTCTTCTGAACCTAAAGCAGATTAAATGAAGTGTTGATTTTTCAGCTGATTTATGTGATTTATTTACAGGAATTTAACTCTCCTGCTATGAAGATTTTTTGAAGATTTTTATTCTGTTCTTACATACTAGTTCTTATTACTTGCTACAAAGCATTACTTGAACTGGCATTATAAATTTTTTCAACCTTGAATGAATTAGATGTGTCTGCCAAGATAACTCCCAGGACAATGACTACAACATAGTAACATTACTTTTTCAGCCTAATAATTTTTTACTTGTCTTTTGACTGTGTATATAGGAAACATATAACTACTTTTAGCGCATTGGTTATCACTTACAGCACATCCCCTGTGGAAATAGTGGGTATGCTATTCTGGGTCTCTCTCTCCTTGGCATGCCCCTGGGAAAAATCCTTGGAGTGAAGGGAGTTTTCTTCCAGTCTCATTGCCTGAGCTGTGGGAAACAGGAGCCATGCTTGAGATTTCTGGAAGGAATTTTCCTTCAGGAGGTTGGACAACACACAGAAAAAGGACCTGTGGTGCTAGCTGAAACTCTAGTCTCACTTGTTCCAACATCTCTTGACTTGCAGAGATGCACAAGGCATAGACTGAATCCAAATAACTGTACACTGATGCCACTAACCATGTTTTTTGTGACAGTATCCATCTCTGCATTCTTGTTACTCTCATCATAACTATAATTACCATTAACAACAAAAAGATTTATCAGCAAATCTGGAAAATAATTGAGTTCTCAATAGGTCTGCCGTTTAGAAAACTCCACTGGGTGTCCAAAGTTTTGGATGCTTTTTCCACGCTTTATGAAGCCGAGGGTGCTGCTCACACACTGGGGATAGCTCCAGCATCTTCACTGAACGTGAGCCTGTATTTCTGTTCACACAGCTATATGAAGGACCTTTTGGCAATCAGACTCCCAGAATGCATCTAGATTTAGAACAACTCACATTTGCTTTATCATTCAGATAACTGGGATGCAGAGACTACCCACTCTGTCAAAGTTCCATCTCTGCAGAGGCTTTATCTTTGATAATGGAGGAAACAAGACAAACAGGGGATTGGATGGTTATTGGTACTGTATGTAAAAATGGGCATGGGAATATGTGGCACCCCTTAGGAAGGCATAGGCTGGAGTGATATTCTACTCTCTGCAAATGGCTCCTATACTCCAGTTCTCAAAAATCCCCAGAACACATCCATTTAAGAGCAGGATGCAAACATCATTCCCACAGCTGAACACAGCATTACACCAGGTCAGCGCACAACATCATTTTGCAAGAATAAGAAGCAGATTACCATTGAACAATGCAAAGACAAGCTCCAGACCCTTACAAATACCAGGGAGGAAGGAGGAGAGAGGGGAAAGTTTATCTCTCTTTTTCTCTTCCTTTCTCTTTCTATTCCTTTCCCAGGAATGTGTTTGAACATGTATAGGAAGAGGCTTCAAAGTTATGGAGTCTGGTCCCCTGCTACTTGTCTGATCAAAGGTTTTTAGCCTAGAGGTATTTTTGTCCATCACTGTTCTTGAAATCAAGTTGTTTTGTTCTCACCTCCTTGGTATAGACTCACTGGTGTTTCTGTGGGGAAAAAAAAAAAAAAAAAAAAAAAAAAAACCAACACTTTTTAATCACATACATATTCAAAACTCATGGTGGTGGGAAACAGATTTGGTTCACAGAACAAATGCAGGAGGCTTGGCATAGGAGATGCCATTTCTTCTGACAAGCTAGTAGGGATAAGCAGAGCCTCTGAAGGGAAAGGAGAAAAGGTGTCTGCAAGAGCAGCCACCAGAGTGCAAGAGCAGGAGCCAAAATGTGACAAGTACTTGAAGGGAGCATATAAACAGGAGGGGGTATAACTGTTTACATGAGTGTATAGTGATAGAACAAGGAGGAATGATTTTAAACTAAGACATGGGAGGTTTAGGAGGTATTAGGGTGAAGTTTTTCACACAGAGGGTAGTGACACACTGGAACAGGTTGCAAAAGGAGGTTGTGGATGCCCTGTCCCTGGAGGTATTTAAAGTCAGGCTGGATGTGGCTCTGGGCAGCCTGGTTGGCAACCCTGTACATAGCAGGGTGATTGAAACTAGATGATCACTGTGGTCCTTTTCAACCCAAGGCCATTCTATGATTCTATGATTCTATGATAAGTAGGCTGCAATTGACATTTAAACTTCTCATATGCTTGTAATAAGCAAATTTTCTTTCAGGCTTCAAGTGTAACTAAAATACCACTGTTACTGCTATAATTGCCACTGTTATTATTAAGCATATCAATTGAAGGGTTGATGTGAATTTTCAAGGTCTGGAATTAATATTACCTGGGGAGAGGTAATATTCCTGTCCACTAGGCTTGTCTCCTCACACTGGAGAATGCAGGTGGCATCCAAGTTCAGGGGCAGGAAGGATATTGATGTCTCCATATTATAACCTTGTTGCTAATCACAGTTAGGAACCATCCAGAGAGAAAGAAAATGAAATTAGAGCAGCTCTCTTCTGTAGTTTTGTCTAGCAGTGGTAGAATCACTGCTAGAGCTTAACATGCCAATAGTTGCAAAGAGGTGATGCAGTGAATCACTCTGGCAGTTTGGCTCAAAAAACTCAACTTAGAACTGGCAAGCTTCCAGGTGGATCTGACAAAGTTTGTCTTTCGCCATCAGTGGGAAGGGATGAACTTTTCATAAACAATTACAAACTCTGGTTAATTCATTAGATGAGGTCATGCACTACAGCTAATTCAGGCATTTCTGCGTAACTGAATGATATGGTAATGTCCAGAGCTGACATGAGTAGTGGCAGAATTGCGACCTATTATGTGGATTGGGATGCCAGAGAGCTCCACCTCATTACACCTTGGTGCTGTGCTGTAGTAAGAAACTATTCCCAGTCAACTGTGATTCAGGCTGGCTACAGCACCAGCCTTTGACAGACTGGTGTGCAGGTTCCACCTCAAGTATGGCTGTCACACTTGCCTGTTCAGAATTTCTACTTTTGTCACATTTCCTCTTGCTTAATGATAGACCTATCTATTTTAGGGCCATAACCATTATAAAGTTCTTGCTTAATGAACTAGAATTGCTGCTGAGCAAATGGGTATGTCTCTGTCCCACCTTTCTGGACAGTTCTACTGATTAAGGGCTACAGGACCTTGTCACATTCCAGTTACAGGCAGCTACAGCCTCCATAAAATGCTGTCTCTGCTTTCAGTTGGCTCCAAGATCCCTCTTCACTTTTTCTCCAAGAACAGTAATTTAGCTGTTTACACTTCAGAAACAGATATTGACTAGTCAGAAATCACATTTGGTGCAGGAAGATCTAAAGAGAACTGGAGCCTGGGAGTGTATCAAGTGAGAAGCATTCTCAATTTTTTATTCTCTAAGATTTCACTTTCAGGAATCTGTTGTTGCTGGATTACTCTTTTCGGACTCCTCCTAGCAAAACTGCTTAACCTCTCAGAGAAGAAGGGACAAAAAAAATACTTGGGCAGATAATTACATAGAATAACATATGAAAAAGTGAAAAAATTCAGGGGAGTGTGATTCAGAGAGGCAAAAATGCAGCTATGGACAGTTGGAAATGGATACAAAGTGAGACATCCCTACACAGACACACACTGCTCCCTAAAAATCTCCAAGGAGCTAATGAACTCCAGCCAGTATTGCCCTAAGACATTATAACAGGTGAAGATCCAATGGCTTCCAAGACAAGTCCAGAACTCATCATGTTGCATATCCATCTCATATTCCTGCTAGTGCTGACCTACTATTATGAATATCTGAGACATTCATCAGTGTCCTGATTTTGGTGGGGATAGAGTTATTTTTTTTTTTTTTTTTATAGTGGCTGGTATGATATTGTGGATTTAGGATGAGAATAATGCTTACTGATGTTTTAGTTGTTGCAGAGCAGTGCTCACTTTAAGTGAAGAACTTTTTTGCTTCCCACACAACCCTGTCAGTAAAGAGGCTGGGAGTCCACAGGAAGCCAGGAGGAGACACAGCCAGGACAGCTGACCTAAACTGGCCAAAGGGATATTTCATACCATATGGCATCATGCTGTACAATAAAACCAGGGCAGGTGGCAAGGGGGGACAACTGTTGCTTGGGACTGGCTGTACTTTGGTCAACTCATCATGAATATCACCATTACTAATATTCAACCTATGAAAATATCTAGAATAGAGGTTTGATAAAAGATTTTATATGGCACCCAAGTAAGCCTACTGACACTTGATTACTTTGATGTTAGGACATTGGGGCCAATAATTTGTTCCTAGATGGTAGAAAAGCTTGCCAACTGGGAAGCATTGCTAAGGACTCATTGACAGAGGGATCAGTAGATGTCTGAATGGGGCTTTCACCCTCTGGAAGAAAGTGCTATTAGCTGTAAAGGAAGAATACCCCTTCAAAGAAGATCTGATTTATGAGGTGAACGAATGGACTACTATAGAAAAAGGTATCCATTATTTGAAAGAACTAGCTATGGTGTAATGCTTATTGAAATGTTG